TGGACTATAACTTGTGGTCCTACCTTGAGAGCAAGGCCTGCGCCACTCCCCACCCCAATTTGGATTCTCTGAAGGCAGCGCTCATCCGAGAATGGGACGAAATCGACGACGCACTCCTGCGTCCGGTCATCGACGCCTTTCCCAAGCGACTCCGCGCTGTCGTCCGTGCCAAAGGTGGCCGAATCGAGAAGTAACTTATGATTGTTAATGTACCAGTTGTTACTTAATAAATGTTATGTTCATGACTCGTTTGCACTTTTGCTTTCTGAGATATAAGGTGAAAACCTTGTCGCTATATTTATGGCCAACCCTGTAGAAACAATAAGACCGATGTTCTCAAATAACAGATCAACCAACTCACCAGGCTTTCGAAGGCTGCAGAGGCAACTGTAAGGAGAGGACCTAGCGAACCCATAAGCGAGTCCATAAGGATGTCGAGAGACCCATTCACTGATTGAGCTTCATCAGCTCTGAAATGCACTGTCATTAGTTGTTAGAATACTTTCATTTAATCGATTCTCAAATAACATCTTTCGTTGGCCCTCTCCTATTCACTGCCGACGACTCGAAAGGGTGAAGCTGCAATAGGAATCTGCTCTAAGAGTCGCTCGTAGAGTATTCTACGTGTCGTAGAACACTCTACGAGCAACTTTTTCAGGCTCCAATGAAGGCAAAGAAGCCGAAACGTCAGCCTTATTAAAGACAGTCCTTCGACTCTATATACTGTTTAGTACTGCTTAGCGCGTCCACAGCAGTTAAATGAAACCAAACAAATAATAAGTGTATGCCCCTATAATACACAGAAGAATGTTTTATCACTCTATATATAATTCGCTTAGTTACTCTATATATAATTCGCTTCGTCTGTTTGTTTGTTTGTTTGTTTGTCTGTCCGGAAATTCGGTTCGACCTGAAGAACGACTTGGAGAGGTCGGGTCAAGGTGGGGATGGGTAGGGCATGGGACAAGAAATAAAAAGCACACTTGACCTATGGGAAGCCCCGCCCACAGTGGGCGGGGCACTCGCCGAAAGTTTGGGGTTCCGCAGAAAAATGTTCATAATTCGCTTCCGGAGCAGCTTAAAGATGGGGAAAAAGGGAATAAGGTTAGTAAGGAGTCGCCAGACTAACTGTGGCAGACACATCAGAAACATGGGCCGATGGTCACGTACTCAAGGTGGGCGGTGCTTCTCGCAAAATTCAGTAACCCGGTTCGCGATAGTGTTTGGAAGTCGCAAAAAACTCACTGTAGAATGCAAATTTCTGGGGAATGTAGGGCACGCCTTACAAAGCGTAGTTGAGCACCCGCCCAGACAGTGGGCCGGGCTTGCACCTAAATCGCAGAGTATTCATTTACAAAAGTTATTCATCGGATTATAGTACAACACTCCAGACACCACGGGAGAAAAAAGTGGGATAAGTACGTCAGCGATGGATCGTTCGACTGGACCGGAGCGGCGAGCACATGTTGGGGGCGGGCCACCCGAAGGTGGGCGGAGTAGGGCAAAAGTGTCTCTAAACTCTCCAAAGCAACTCAAAGACAGCAAAAACGAATGGATTAAGCGTCAGGAATGGGGACGCCGGTGCAGCTATTGTGGGGGACAGAAAACGTGTGGCGGAGCTGCATCGAGATTGGCGGCAGCGCAGACAAAAAGGTGTGTAAAAACGGTTCCGAGGCACTCCGTAAGACAGGAATAAAAGTGAATTCAGGTCCAAGCAAGGGGTAAGTCGATAAGATAAATGGGGCGTGTCTCATATTCGGCGGGCGGCCAAACCCGAGGTGGGCGGAGCCAAACGAAATTCTCTTAAAACTGGACCCAGACGCACTTCAAAGCACCGGATAGAAAGCGTGCAATTGAATGACAGGCGTCGGTCGCCGCGTGATGGATTGGGGGCACAAAAATGGAGCAGGGGTCTGCTCTGAGGTGGGCGGAAGTCAGACGAAGAATCTGTAAAATAGCTCAAGAGTACTTCAGACACCGGAAAAAAGTGGAGTACAGAACAAAAGGCGGATATCAGTTGAGTCTAGAAATATGTGAAAGAACGCGCGGCGAAGCCGCGCCCGCCCGGCGCAGCCGGGCCGTATCAGAAGGAGCCCGCCGGCGTCAGCCGGCGAGGCGACTGGTGAAAATATAGGCGTTAGCGCAGCAAACTGGAAACTATTCAATTAAACATGAGCTGATAGGAGAATTTGAGAAAAAAAAGTTAGCGTCAAAGTAAGCAATGGTTGCTTACTCGTAAAGAACTGACCGTGTCACAGCTGTAGCTCTGAATGCATGTGAGAGCATGCGAAAGGCAGCACACGAGTCGATCGCCTTTGTTTCGAATGTCCTGGTTAAAAAAAATTAAAAGTTTTTGATCAGGTAAGCAAAGAAATTTGAAGTGAAAAAACTGGGAATCGATTTCACGCATGTATTTCTTGGGTGGGTGTATTTCTTGATGAAATTAAAAGTAGGCTATTCGCCGCTGTTCATAAAATCTATTAGATGTTGGAAAGATGAACGCACTACAGCGATACGCAGTGCTATTTCTTTGAGCGCACATATAACAACATCGCTGCAAAAAATATGCGAGGGGAAGTTAGTTGAATTTCAGGCAAAGCAGCTCTTCGCGCCAACTCTTGCGCACTCAGGATGGCATCATTGGTGGAAAGGTCGCCTTGGCAGCGCTTCAATGCACGACCATGCACACGACGTATAATTTGCATGCTTGTGACCGAAGCGCGGTTTCTGTAAGAATTTTTTAAAAATGATTTTTTTTCTTCCAGATATTCACTGTTAGAAAACACACCTTTCAGGACTAGCATCTACGCGCCTTTTCTCACTCAACCACCAGCGCACTCGTTTTTCAATAGCACAGGGCTCGTAGTTTTTTTCAGCTTCAGTGAGAGGTATTGGCACTGAAATGAAAAGATAGTTACACAAAACAATCAAGTGGAACTATATGAACAGTATAGGCCTTCTTCAGATGAAAAAAACACTTAGAGACACTTTACGCTCAACTAAATACAAGGCGCGTCCTCGGAGCTAACGGGCCACCAACTGTCGAAGCGTAATGATTTACCCGTCCGAGCACACGCAGGAACGGGGATCCAGGGTAGGACACGCTAAAACCTTCATACTTCGCCTAAAATGCAACTTGCGGCGCAGACTCCCGATCCCTTTTATAGAGGCAGCCGCGCGGCGCGTGTCGTGCACAGCGCTCCTGGCACTTTGCCAAGTCGTGTAATTGCGCTTTGGAATACAATTAAAACGCAAACTCCTGATGCGGATAACATTTGAGGTGTTGCTCATGCTGCAAAGTCCGAATCGAAGATGATGAAGATGACAAAGGCTAGAACTGAAGAATGACTAATGTAGATGTCCGGGTTTTTTTTTTGTTTTGTGGAAATACACGGCCTCCGAGGAAGATGGCGGAAGCAGCAGTTGCTCTTGAGATCTGAGCCTCGTCATCATCTTCGATTCGGACGTTGTAGCATAAGCAACACATGGTATCCGCGTGTTTGCGCTTTATTGTATTCCAAAGTGCAATTACACGACTTGGCAAAGTGCCAGGAGCGCTGCGCGCGACACGCGCCGCGCGGGCGTATGACGTGTCAGTATAAACGGATCGGGAGTCTGCGCCGCAAGTTGCATTTTAGGCGGAGTATGGAGGAAGTTAGCGTGTCCCACGGTCCTGGATCCCCATTCCTGCGCATGTTCGGACGGGGAAACCGCTACGCTTCGACAGCTGATGGCTCGTTAGCCCCGATGACGCGCCTTGCAGTTGAGCGTACAATGTGCCCTTAAAGCGCGGAAACGTTAATTACTATAGTACAATGGTCATACCGGGTTTTGGTTCTTCTGGTGCGCGATTGTGTAGAATGTTGTTGGCAGTTGCGCCGGCAATTTTATCACGCCGCCGAACGTATTTCCGTTTTTGACGGGTGTCCTGCAAGCAAGAACAATCCTGAGCTGGAATTTTGCAGTGAATCACACGAACCTACAAACAATATTACAGCACCTCTTTTTTATCCTTTACACCTTTCAACCGGATCTTCAAACCGTGTTCCTTTGGCGGACGTCCAAGCTTTTTCTTGACTTCCTTAACAATCTTGTAATCAATCCAGAGGACGAATCCCGTGATACTTCGACCCCACCTGCACGTTATGCTCTACAACCAGCGTCAGATCATTGGTGCAATCGCTTCGCATCGACTGAATTTCAGCGGCGGCTAATGCTGCTTCTGCCTGTGAAGACAAGGACGCTGGTCCTGAAGGAGCTTTCTACGGCAATATCACGCGAGTATTGAGCTTATCAAAGTAACCTGTATCTTCTTCTTCTTTATTCTTACGAGATGACGACGATACTGGCTTTTTCGTACGTGCAGCGAGATTCCATCTACCTTTCTTGCCCAAATCTCTTGGTATTTCTTCATGACTCTTCACCCAACCGTACCATTTTCGACATTTCTTGTCCACACAACGCCATCTGTCAAACTGATTACTCAGAAACGAGGCAACATAATGAATTCAGGTATGCCTAGTCACAAGCATAACCTGGGAACCAGGAAAATTTTTTGCTAAGCTAGCACGAAGAAGAAGCACGCCAGAAACACGTGGTGATCTACGTCTTTCCAATACTTGGAGACCATAGATGTTTTCAGGTATGAGGGCGAAAAAAATTGCGAAGGGCCGTCCACAATGGTGGGGATAAATATGCTAGCCTGATAAGCTTAAAAGTACAGGAGGAAATCCGCCTTGATCACAAAAAAAATCGCGATGTTTCTGCACGAACGTTTTGCGCAACGGTACAACGCTTTTACAGTTTCGGTGCCTTTGACAAGGGATTAATCACTAACAAGTTCTTGGTAATGTGAATCGCGTAATTCACACCAGAACTGCCTAAGAAAAACCACTTCCACGAGCGACTAGCTGGGCCAACAATGCATCCAACTGCTTTCACATTTCGGAAAAAACCCCGAGAGGAACGTGCCAAAGCAAAGCTAAATCGACTGGGAGGAGGGCTTTCTTACCTTATGTCTGATGCGTACGCCAATTCTGAGAGTAGCAGAGTGGCTAATCTCTCAATAGTCCTTACCTCATAAAAATTATAACCCGTACTGTAAAGCTTTCAAATTAGTGCAGATGGAATTTACCTGTGTTTATTGCTCCCACACATTTGCGGCCTGACCTGCCCGCTACAGAATGTACACTGCCGCTGACCATTTGGTCCCATCACAGGCGTCTTTTCAACTTTGCTGAAACATTTGCTGGTAGTTCTAGTAAATAAATGATATCAACTGCAAGCCTGTGTAAAACAACTCACTATTGCCTTGGTCGTCCGGTACCACGAATGTGCCGCTTTTGTTCAGCATTATTCTGCGCAGTATTTGCAGTACTGGGCTTTTGATCGGAAGATGGCGAAAACAGCGACAAATCGCGCGGTGGAGTCAGGGCTCTTGTCTTGAAATGCAAACATTTTTTAATAACTGGAAAATTCATCTCAACATTGGCAATTCTAACCTTGCCCTTAGACTCCTTTGATGCTGTGAAGCCACTGTTCTCTGCTGATTTCTGGAAGAAGAATTTGTTACGCTCAAAAAGAACTCATGCCAAACGCTTAATAATCGTTATCATCAGCTGTTTTCAGAAGTAAGAAAAAAAGAGGGGCAGAACTGCTGCGGCTACAATTTTCGCATTCATTTCTTGCTTAAAGTTAGCTGATACGATAAATTTCTAAGACGGGACGATTAACAAGCATAGCAGAAGGAATTCCGCGGGCCGTAGCGCCTTTACCAAGACAGGTTCCTCTATAAGGCCCTACCAAGCTATAACATACCGACCCGGACGTTCACCGCGCCCGCCCGCCCACAAATGGACGACCGTACCTGATGCTCGCATTGCTTCATTTGCTGAGTAAAATATGCGGCTGTGGGGCTGCATGGATGGATGAGGACAAGGTGCAGCCGTACCTACCGTAGCGGTTATAGGCAAGGATGCCTACGGGAACACGTCCGAAACTGCTTTTTGAATCATTAAGAACGAAGGCTTTTTTCGCAGGTTTTTGACCGTTTAACTTCTTTTTTCTCCATTTTACATGCTAGCATATTAGTCCCAATATCGAATTATCCTGCCATATGCCCTTAAGTCAGAAATCTGCACTGTTTCATAACTACCTAGAAATCTCAGTTTTTTTTTTCTTCGCTCAAACTTGGAGGTGGGTTTAGAAGTTCGAGAGTGAGACATCCGTTTTGGGCACCGACGCCGTTTGACGGCAGAATACGGGACTGGCAGTGATTCCTCCAAGCTCAGCCTTGGCAGAGCGCAGACGAACAGGAAGCACTAACATTGGCACATGTTTCAAAAAGCGATTGCTACATTCACGATCAGGGCGCTAAACAGCCTTCGTATGCAAAGTTATCATAGTTTCTGTGAGGAAAAAGTGGTGCTAAGTTGCACGAGTTAAGAAAACGCCGCGCACGCCGCACGCGGCGGAGTGGCAAATTACGATTCTCTTGCCCTATCCCATTGCCACTGGGTAACCCGTACACAGTTTCAGCACAAAAGTGAGCTTTCGTGATAGTAGTAGTTGATTAGTCCGTGAATACAACAGTACTCCTTCTGCTTTCAAAGCAGAAAGCGCTGAAACTTACACAACAGAGTGAGAAGATTGAGCTACACTCTAGCTTTCTAGGAAAGACCAACATACTTCTTTTTTGGACCTCTTCTTCGGTGGAGGAGTAACCTGCCGTCCTCTATGATTGAACGTCAGTTTTGCATTTGATGATGACGGCTGCATGTGCACTTCCTCATCTTCTTCTTTTACCGGGACTTCATCAGATCGCGTCTTTACCTTGCCCTTAAGGAAAATATTGAATAGGATTGAGATATTTCCCACATCAAACTATTCCAAGCAACATTCAGGAGAGCTTACCTGTCGAGTCTTCGAGTACTCTCCTTCATTCTTCACAATCGCATGATTCTCGAGTTTCCTTTCAGTCTTGTGCTCTCTTACAAAAGGTTTTTGCTCGTTCTTGACCGCTGCTACTGAAGAAGCCGCGGTCGATGTATTCGTGGACAGTGGGCATATCTGCTTTTGCTCCGGACTGCTAGTGGGTTCATTTATCTTCCTGCAGAACTTCGAAGTGCACCTGTAATAGAAGTGTGTAGTAGTGGAACACAAGAACAAACGGAATCGTTGATGATACCTCCATTTCCCATCGTTGAGCTTGCACTCACATCCACAAGCTGTGCAGAAAAGAGCGGGGCCAGGAAGAGGGGCTGGAGCTTCCGGCGTACCTGGTCGTCCCTAAAGACGTTTATTTTCGGTAAGGAAAAACAAGTAACCGGAAGAAACGAGCAGAGCTGAATCAATAAAGTGAAGAGTAAAACACGCTCCCACGCATTACAGTGCTACTGGGAAGAGGTTTATTGGTTTTGATAGCAACAAACTTCCAAATCACCTCGCTACTTTCGGATGGGAGCTCGTCTAATGTGTGCAAAAGTTGCTCAGCTGCTTGTTGTAAATTTAACTCTCCACTGAACAGCAGCTCGTCAAACACGTCCGATACTCCAGATATCAACCTGAGTAACGATGTTTTATAGCATCATGCGGCAACACTATACTACTGCAACACTATTAATCCAAGAAGAAGTGAGCCCAACATACCGGGCACTTCGGTGCAGCTAAGAAGTTTGAAACTTCTGCAGAGATTTCTCTTGATGTATATGGTTAGAAAAGCATTTTGCCCAAGTATAGGTGAAAGTAAGAAGGGTTCCACAGTTACCTATCCATCAAGCTCACCATCAGCCAACAAATACTAATCCCTTTGCTCACAACCGTTTTTACGCACCTTACAAAGCTTAGGCTGCGTTCAGACTTTGCGGCAGCGTAAGGCCGCGTTCATAGCTTGCGTTCGTGAAGAAATGCCGAAATGCAAGTGCGGAAAGTGCAGAAGTGCGGAATCTGCAGAAAAGCAATAGATACTTATCGACTTGAAGAAATGCAGAAATGCCGAAACTGCAGACGTACACTGTTGCTCAGCCTTCCTTCTTACATCCCGCTTCTTCTTACTTTCGCGCTTTTGGAGTCTACATTTTCGCCATGCTTGCACTTTCTTCAAATCCTACGTATCCATTGCTTTTCGTCATTTCTGCAGATTCCGCACTTTCGGCACTTCTTCACCTTCGGCATTTCTTCACTTTCTTCAAATCGATAGGTATCTATTGCCGTTTCTGCAGGACTCGCACATTCTGCACTCTTACTCGCACTCTTCTTACCACTTTCGGCATTTCTTTCACTTTCTTTAACGACACAGATACCTATTGCTTTCGCATGCATTCGGCACATTATGCCACTTTCCGCACGTTCTGCCAGTTCGTCATCTCTTCACAGAACGCAAGCTCATGAACGCGCGCGCTAACCAAGTGTTCGCAGCGCCACGCTCAATAGATATGGTAGAGGATATCCTATTACGCGACGCCTGCGATCTGCCAACCATCCCCCACGCGTCTCTGACGAGAGACTAGGGAAGCATAAGGATCAATTAAGCGAATGCCATCGTCGACCAACGTCCAGGAGTAGAGAGTATGGAGGAAATAGGAGGGTAGCACACAGCTGGATTATTAGCGCACGCACAACGGCTATTGTTTGATTATTGTGTGACGGTCAGTCAAACACAGCAAACGCGGACCATCAGGAGACAATCACAAACACTTCTTCACACTGACATTCTTGAGAACAAGCTGAAAAACATAAAACTTGAAGCTAAAAAAATTTACAAATCTGAGAACTTATAATAAGCAGAATCACTGTGATATGTAGGATCCTATTAACCAACACCGTATGAGGACACATATACTGAGCCACTTGGCCTAAGGCACACGAAAAAACCGCTGCTATAGGTCGCGAAATGAGTAGTGAGTAAGCAAGTGAAACCTCGCCCCCGATACATGAGGAAAATGGTAACCGAAAATCAAAACAAGTGGATGGTGCTAGGGTAACACCACATACAGGGGCACCAGGGCACGCCTGTATACCTGAAGCTGGGTTTTCGGATGTCAGGTATTCCCTACCCCTAACAACCCAGCTTCAGGCCCACTATCCGATTGAAGGTAGCATCATAAGGAACGAGAGGCGAGGTCACTTAGAGGAAGAAATAAGGAGGCACGGGGCCAACGGTAATTAGCGTGCGTCCGACCCACTAGAACTCAGGGAACGAGGAAGAAAATAGTCAAAACTGAAGACCAAGCCATGAAAGGGCACCATAATGCACCATGACAAAAAAACAGAATTATGTAATTTAATGTACAGTGTAGTGTAGTTGTGCAGTGTCCACGCCCTAACCAACTGTCTTCTACCCTCCTACTTCCCCAAGCTATCTACTCCTTTACTCAGGTGGAAGCTGGCGTTCGCTAGATCAGATTCGACACTTTCCTAGTAGCCGGCGCAGGCGGCCTCTCGGAACGCTGGTGGTCGCTGATGGACGCAGCCGCAAAGTATGAGCCTAAATGCCGTCCTACATAAGAGAAAAAAATTGAAAAAAAATTAGCGAAAGCGAACTCCGTAAGATTTCCCAGGCTAATATAATATAAAAAAATTGATTACCACAACTCGACGAACTCTTGCACCAAAATGTCCGGTATGTTGGACTGGCGACCAGTAGATTCCTCAAGACTAGGCCTGGAGAACTCACCTGCTTCTCCTTCCAACCTCGCTCGCACTTCCTGAACGGTGTCGAGTTCTAGTACCAAATCCATTGAGCAGGAAATCATCGTAGAGCTTCGATGATGCACGTGACCGCTTTGATCGGTTAGATCTAGCATCATCATTCCCAAGCAAATTTAAGCCATCATCCAACATGTTGAAGTCGTTACCGTCCAATCCCTGCAATAGGATAAATAAGGAAAAAGTCTTCGCCGTTGATCAATCCCTTTGTGGGATGCGGCACGCATTCTACTTCCATTCAGAATCGTAGTGGCTTATTGAATGCGATGTGGCCTATACAATGACTTGCGGGGGCCAGCCGATGTACAAGTCAGTGTTTTATCCTCCCAGACGAATCTGGTACCAATTTACCGTCCCCGGAGGGTAGAAGGCTTGGTTGGCCTGGGCGGGTGTCGACCTGGGATTTGAACCCAAGACCACGCGGGTGGTAAGCCGAAAGAACACAAGTTGGACTACAACTACCCAATCAATAGTGTTCAGTAACAACACTGTATGTCAAAGAATCGCTATTGAAGGAAGACATAGGATAAAGAATTAAGCGCACAATGGCGAGCAATCATTTCCGCATTAGTACACTACTACTGTAACATTTGACCAAAACTGTGGAATGCCCAGAAG